CACCTGCACTATAAGCATAAGTGTTTACCCTCCATGAAAAAAGTAATGCATTACACATTAATTGTTGCGTTTTTTCAAAAAAATAAAGCTTAACGTTACTTATTAACTCAGTGCAGGAAGGAATTAGTTGCACAGTGGGTTACCTTGCAACGCCGCCTGAGAGGCACTGCCACTTGAATGGCTGCTTAACAACATATTAAACCTTAAGTGTGTCCACATATAAACACAAATCTCTGTTTTTATTCGATGCCATTCAACTGAAGAGAATTAAAGCAGCTCTGGCAGTGAGCTGTGACTCCTCAAACTCAAGCTGCAGTAACTGTAACTTATTACTTACTGTACTGTGATTACTGAATTCAGCAAAAGCAATGCGTTAAGTTTCTGTGTTACAACTGACAGATGTAATGTGATTCCAGTGATGCTTTACCTCCAACATTGTCTGCACTTATAAAGCCTTTTATGTGTGAAGAAGCTCTGCAGAATCTAGTGTCTTCTCCTTTTTTGTGGTGAGAAAAGTCAAATATGTTAAAAAACAGAAGGAAAGTCAGAATAAAATGTAGAATCTAGTATTTAGAAATCTTGAATTACATCAGGGAATAAAATATCTTGTGAGCTGTTGTTAGTTCTGGCTGTTCTTTGTTGCTGTTTCTGGTAAATTGTCTGGAATTACCCTTTAATTAACAGAACAACAAAACCTAATGGTTACAGATTATTTGACTTTCTTTTACTTTTTTTTAACTCCACTAAAAAAAAAAAAAACTGACCAAGAGGTTTTCCTTTACATCTCTTTCAGAGTTTAAGTCATTTCAAAGTTAATGTTTGCCAGCAGTTTCAGCACCACATTCTACCCTAAAGATGATTTATTTTTTTAATGGCTTATTTGTCATATCAACTTGAGGCGATGGACAGATACAAGAGTCTCTTAACGGCAGAGAAAGAGAAGAGGATGGCAGCCAACTTCAGACAAAGTTTCTTTCTCTACTCCAGTGAAGTTGAAGGTGAGCGGGCCGGTCCGGCGGTGTAATCCAAGCCTTTGTTGTCCTCTAAACACAGACATTAAATGTGATAAGGCGCTGGTTGAATAATGACACAGTGCGACTGGTTTTATGACATACCAGGTCTCTGTATTTACTATCAATATTATGGGTGACACCAGAACACATTGCTCTATTGGATGGAGACGAATTAGAGCGTGCATGTCTGCATGTGTGTGTGCATGCATGTACTAGTCCCACCCACTGTCAGGCAGCATGCACCCACACACACACACACCGAGGCAGCTTTAAAAAGCCAGTGTTTATAAAGTCACGCTTTTTTGCCATTCTGTGGTCAGTCACTTGTCACTGCTGTCAGCCTGGCGAGTGTCTGCTGGAGGTAAGTGTCACCTTTTCTGTCACAGTGATGAATGCGATTTATGCAATAATACAGGTGATGGTGTAACTTTGCAGCATGAGAAGATGGAAAGGATGCATGTTCATTATTATTGTCTTACAGCCTGTGCTATTAGGATGATTTTCATGCTTAATGCTCTGTTAAGATTTATTCACATAAAAAAAAAAGACTCAACAATTTACAAGAAAGTAAAACTCAGCAGGTATTGCAGATTGCAGATTTCCAGCCATGATATTCTGGGAGAAGGGTGGTGCAAATTTAACTTCAGTACAAAATGTGTAGCAACATATGGAGGCTCTCAGCCACTTCAGTCGTGGGGGAACACACCAGTCAGTAACTGAGAGGCAAAAGATTTTTAAAACTACACAGTAGGAGCACTTTAATTACAATAATAAAGACGTATATAAGAGTGGTGCAAGAATATCAGTTGACTATTTTTCAGTTGCACAAATTGTGCAATGTGGGAAAAAACTAATTTGGTAGAAAAGTTTTTTGTAAGAGCTGAAAATTCAAACTGATCTTTCGCATATACTCTGACAAATATCTGCTTTTTTATTTTTAAAAATACATATTATATGCCTTTTTGTGTAGATGCACGTGTATATGTTTCAGATGACATAGTTGCATGCTTAAATAAAACATTAAAGTTATATCTTAATGCAAGTTGAGACGCTTTACACAGAGTTGCACAGATATATTTGCAGACACATGCACCTGTGCACACATCCTGCACTTACACCTACTCAGATAACATAACTTTTGTTTATTCCCTGTGCATACTGTATAAGAAAGTGCAAATGTCTTACTAGTTAGTAGGGTTCCTATTCTAACCCTAACTAACCTTAATGTTAGCGTTGCCCTTACCCAACACTAACAACAGAGCTGTGAAGCTAAAATGAATGATCTATTTTATGAAGACTTCCTTATGTGCTCACAAATGAGCAGAATTCCCACAATGTGATTCATGTCCCCACAACATGAGTAATTAAAGTACACACACACACACACACACACACACACCGTAGACACCGTCTAGTCAGTCTAATCTGAATTTTCCACCCCTTTGCCTCAGCTGTGTTTTGAAAATAAATCATTGTGTTGTGACAGACAACTTTAGCGCTCCGGTCCAGTCTGAGATAAAATGGACACTGTAGTCACCGTACATACACTAGAAAGATCTGAACAAGCAAAGTGTAAGGTGAACCGGATTATTTGTGTATTTTGGCTGAAATCCATCTACACTTTTTATACACAAATTTAAACCGTGTATGAAGATGAATTTAAACATAAAATGTAGAACAAATTCTCAGTTAAATGTATTTACTGTGTAGATGAAAATAACTAATTCCTTTTTCTTTTTTTTTTTCTTTTAAATTGGGCCCATTGTGTCTGCTCCAGCTGGCTGGAACACAAACACCAACGCTAACCCCGGTGCAGAGTGTCAGGTAAGGGGCACACACTCACCAGATCGCCACTCCAGACACACGACATGTATTGACAGTCCAAACATGTGGAAGGTGAACCGTCAGTCATGTCCACACCGGAAACCAGCAGTGACCCAGAGTCTGGAGCCAGCTGGCTGCGGAGGCACGACAGCCACCATGTTTACCTTATAGACACAAAGCGTCACCTGGACATTAGCATGATCCGTGTCCATTCTGCTGCAGCCAAGAAGATTATAGAAATGGCAGCAGCTTCAGGTTGCTGCAGTGGAAAATAACACCCATAATATCATCAGTGTTTTTGTAATGTAGTGAAGCATGACGATGATTTTATCTGACCCTGCTTTAGAGACAGGATACTCCTCTTAGGGACCATATGGCTTCAAAAATGGCATCTGTGTTGTTGCTGTCCTCACCTGCAACTAACTCTTAGGTGAAGGCAACAAGCTGGGGAATATTCTTTGCAGTTTGTTCAATATAATTCTGGAAAATGTAGGCAATCACAAAATGAGACACGAATAGTTAATAAATAATTATTTGTTAAAACTACACACAGTGACAGAATACATCGTCTCAGGCCAGTGGTCTTTTAAGTTGTTTCCAAAAATTCCTCTTTGTGTGAACTTCTCATATTTGTACCAACAATCTGCTTTGAATAATGAGGTTTTTTTTCCATAATAAATATTTAAGTACCTTGTCAGAAATTCTTGAAACAAGCATCTACCCCTCCTCCCTCAGTGACAAATCCAGAATTTCAAAATGTGAAAATGCTTTTGTTTTAAAACAATTTGATACAACGATGTCTCCTGCATCATTAAAACTTTCTGCTTTGTGCATTTGCAGTGCAGGCTTCAAGTTTCCATTTTAATCTCAGCAGCTCAAAGAAACGTTTCATTTTCAGCAGAAGAATCTTAGAAAGGTCCTCTAATGAAATTCTGCACATACATGATTCTGTAAAATGAAGGTCAAACATCCAAAAGAACGAACATTGACATTTTAATTTGTTTTTTTACTGTAACTTTTCTGTGTAACTGTGAAAACCCCCAAAAAGTGCAACATTTAGCATGTCTTACCATTTACATTACCAATAATATATTCTACATGTTCATTCATTCAACCCATAATTCTTCATGCAGGTTACAATAAAATCAATACAACTCAACACTAGTGGTGTACATGCATGTGTGTACAGTGAAACAGTTCATTTGTTGTTAATGCAGCCCACCTTGTAAAACCTTTTCATTATAAGAGACCAGGAAACATTTACCCATAGGTTTCCTGAAAAGCAGTTTTGAAGCTCCTGCTTTCACCATTGTGGTATTCTCCTAACTCCCAGCAAATCCACGAATGAGCTGCATGCACAAGACTAACCCGTCTCTCAAAGCATCCATGCTGTTATTTATGCAAAACTTTAAGCCTAGATACAATTTAAACAAGTGAGTGATATAAAAATTAACCTTTCGTACAGCTGTCGCAAATGAGAAAATTAGTCCTACAGATATATATTTTTTTGTATAAGGCTACAAACATGTTTATTTCTACAGTAAAGGTGGCCGTTGCAGCGTGGAGCTCTATGGGATTTGACTCACTTTTGTAGCCAGCCTCAAGTGGACATTCAAGGAACTGCAGTTTTTGACACTTCTGTGTTGGCTTCACGTTTCGACCTCAGAGATTATAACTTGCTAGAAACAGAATTCACAAACCTGAGAACAAAAATGACTCTTGATGAGTCAGATCAAGAAAATATCTACCGAAGTTTGCATTTTGAATACAATTGTGTTTCCGTGTCACACCAAGGAGGAGTTTCGTGCTACAAGACTACAGCATTGGTGGGACAGAAGGAATCGACCAATAACCTTTCAGTGCACAAATGGAGTAGACTTAAAATAATGTTTAAACTAAAAACAAAAAAAATTTGCTCACTAAAATAAATGCTGTTCAAACTAAGATCAGAGAGAATGACGTACACTGATAATTAGGTAGAAATCCACAGTCGTGCACCACAAGCTGAAGCTGTGGGAGGTGCCAGCTTGAATTCATCCACCTGCCCTGTGCAGCTTCCCACTCAGTGTCTCTCAAACACAAGCATGTTTGTGCCTGTGTCCCATGCTCATGTCCATCTCAGCCGGCCTGTACCTCTGTGTTTCTCTGTGCCTCCAGAGCTACGTGGAGCTAAACGAGCTGATGAAGGACCAGAAGCAGGAGACCTACTGGCAGGAGACGGGCCGATGGGCCGGGTACGAGGAGAGCTTCGACCCCCAGTCGGGGGTGTGGGCGTCCCCACACATCTCCTACCTCACCTTCAAGAGCCTCATCCAGCTCCGACGTACCATGAACACAGGTGAGTGAGAAAAATCAGTGAAAACGTGAGCATCAGGGACTTTCTAAAATAAATCTGCCCATATATAATTGTTTTCAGCAGTGGGAAGTTTGTTTAGGCAAGTCCTTATGTGGAATTTTAAGGTGCTTGTACTCCAATATACATTTCCTCATTGCTTTAGTTCCAACTCTGTTGCAGATTCAGATTATTCTAATAAACATGTTAAACAAATGCCCTGCCAGGTGTTTTTGCATGTTACACTTCTCTGTAGTATCTAAGAAAATCAAACATTGCCGGCCTCAACCACCAGCAACCACCAAATGCGTAAACACTGGCGTATCAGTAATTGTAATGCATTATTATATAATATCTGATAAGTATGAGTGTACATGAACCCTTCTCCATACGTAGATCTTTTGCCACTTTAAGAGTGTGTTCATTCTAATACTTTGGGACTTTTAATGGATAATATTTTTAATAAATTTGTGAGCAAATGTATTTCTGCACTGTGTCACGTTTTCTAGTATTGATGTTTGTTCATGAATGTGAGGGTTACAAATTAATGATTCTGAAAGTAAACTTGCTTTTATGGTTCTATACACTTTATATCATTTTAGGAACAATTTGCATCATTTCTACTTTTTTTTTCTTGTGACAGTAGTATCATCGGAATTTAGGAATCAACTGATAATTTGAGAATTAAAGCTTTGACTTCCCTGCTTCTCTGCTTCTCCTCTGACAGTATGTTAAACCCTGAGACAAGCTTTTTAAATGCAACACGTTTTGATGCCCTTGATCCTTCTTTCTAGCTCTCATTTTGTCTCAACTCCCTCCTTAATCCACAACCACTATCCCCTCCTCTTTACGATCATCTCTGAACATTTCCCGACATTTCCTTTGTCAAGGTGTGACAATTTTTGACTGTGAAGAGCGGACCCTGGCCACCATCGCAGAGAAGATGGTCAGCGAGATGATTAACAAGAAGGAGATCAGGCCAGGAGACGGGGAAGAAGTGCTTAAAGCTCTGCTCCAAAACCGCAGGTATCCTCTGAGACATCACCCGACGGTGACTCAAACACAAATGACCTACATTTACGCATTTAGCAAGAGGCTATAATCCAAAAGTGCAAGCAAGAAAGGGATATGTCAGTATCTTGCTCAGAGAAAGTCAAACAGAACACGCAGCTGCTGTAGAGACCAAACCTATAATTATGCAACACCATCTCTGACCACCAAACATTCTGCCCGTCTGCTTGAGTCTTTATTAAAGACAACCAATGCGTACTGTAGACCCTTGACCTTGTAAAGATACAGAGTATGACAGCCTACTCTAAATATCTGAGATCGATAGATGCTATACTTTCAACATGCTGCATGTAAAAACATCTGTGTAGCGCATTCAAGGTACCCCAATCCACCGTACAAACTCAGAGATTCCAGAATCTTTTCCTAAATCCCTCTCTGTGGTTTATTTTGCTTCTGTTTTCCGTAACAGTTAAGGTATTAGGACTAAAATGTATTAGATTCAGCCCATTAAGAATTAGCCTGGCATTTCAGACTGAGAGTTTAAAGATAAGATCTGATACGACTTGAATAATTGTTTGGTAAATATGAAACTACAGCCAGTAGCTGGTTGGCTTAGTTTACTATAAAGACTGGAAACAGATTGCCTGAAGGTAATAAATACTGGCACATCTGATTACAGAGATTACATGCAACACTCCAGGAACTAATAGATCTCACCCAAAATACAGTACATCTATCCATTTCCTTCTGCTTGTCCATGGTTGGGTCATGGTGGCAGCAAACTAAAGGTCATTCCAGACATCCCAGCAATGCTTTCCAGTTCCTTCTAGGAGATCATAAGGCATTCCTAGGCCAGATGAGACATGTAATTCCTCCAGTGAGTTTTGGTTCTACAGCAGGGTCTCCTCTCAGTTGGACATGCCAGAAAAACCTCAAAAAGAAGGAACCCAGGAGGCATCCTAATCAGACACCCAAACCACCTCAGCTGGCTGCTTTTGGAGCAGCAAAGCTCTCTCCACATGTCTGCTCTCCTCATCCTGTCTCTAAAGCTGAGCAGAGCCAACTCACAGAGGAAACTAATTTCAGCCCCTTGTATCCGCATTCTCATTCTTTTGGTTACTACTCAGAGCTCAAGGCCATAGGTGAGGGTTTGAACACAGGCCAACTGGTAACTCAAGAGCTTTGCCTTCTGGCTCAGCTCCCTCTTCACCACAACTGTCCGTGCAACGCCTGCAAGACTGAGGACGTTGCTTTATTCACCCGTTACTCACAAAGAAGAGACACTTAAACTCCTTCGATTGGGACAGCGAAATGACCTCCAACCCAAAGCAAGCAATCCACTAAGTTCTAACAGAGAACCATGTCCTCAGACTTGGAGATGATCAGTGTCATCCTGACTGCTTCACAAGCTGCTGCAAACTACCCCAGTGTCACTGAAGGTCACAGTCAGATGAAGCAAACAAAACCATGACATCTGCAAATGCAAAGATGCAACTCTGAGATTCCTAAACTGGACACCTTCCTCATCCCAGCTGTGTCTTGAAATCCTTTCCATAAATATCACAAACAGGTTTGGAGACAAGAGGCAACCCTTGGGGAGTCCAACACCCACCAGAAACATGTTTGACTTAGTGACGAGAATACAAACACAGGTCTCATTTTGGTTGTACAAGGATGGGATGGCTTGTAACAACGGCCCCGGTACCCCATATTCCGAAAGCATCCCAGTTTCCCAGGGACATGGTCTTAGACCTTGTCCTAGTCCACAAAACACATGTGACCTGGATGGTCACTCTCTTATGACCCCCTCAGCAGCTGTGCAGGGCTAAAGAGCTGCTCCACTCCTCTACAGCCAGGACAGATGGAAAGAAACATTTGTAATGTGTCACTCAGTGAGTGTTGACAGATGCTGGTAGGTGGATTTTCTTGGATAATACTGGCTGTTTCCAGTGTCTACAGTAAATTTACCTGACTAGTGGCTGCAACGTTATATTTACCAGCAGATGGTGGTTAGGTGATCCTCTCCTCTAATACTCAACTCTTGAAAGCAAACAAACATGTTTCCCAGGGTGTCAAGCTATTCCGTAAAAAAAATAAAAAATAAAAAATGCGTCTCAAAAATTCACAATAAATCTTACCAAGTACATGACCTCAGCATCATCTGTGATTAGCCTGCTTTTGTCTCTAATATTTGGTCATTTTCTCTCCAGTCATTTTTTAAAATGTTTATGTAATCATCTATTTTGTTCAACAATTTCTTAGCAAGGTAAAGACATATATACACATGCATTGAACAGAGAACAGTCTGTGAATAATTTGCTAACATCACAGCTGTTCAGTCTGATCCAAACACAGCCAGTGAACATGTTAATTTCTTCCCTCCAGCCAATCATCTGACCCAGAGAGCCAAACTCTGACCGACAGGATGGACCTACACAAGTTTTCAGTCAAGGAAAGAGTAAGTTCTTCCACTAATGTAAGCGTTAAAATATTGATGGCATCACCTGATAACACAATAATGGTGACAGGATGGCAGAAACCGTGACGGTAATTTGCCAGCAGATCCATTTAAAAAGTCATTCATTCATTCATTTTAATCTTCTGTGCATCTTTTTTTGTTAGAGTAGAGGACATTTTTCAGTTTTAAGGGGTTGCAACATGCTGTAATGCTCAGAATGTATTTTTCACGGCAAGCTCCTTTAAAAACACAACCTTTTAAAATACGATGATAATGTTTGTTCACTACACTTGTCATTCTGTGTTCCTTCAGAGGGATGAATCTAGCCGTGTAGAGGCCTCCATGGTGCTAGTCGGTAAGACTCATGTGTTTTCCACGTAGGATCTGGAGTGCAGTGTGTGTGCTTGTGCAGATGTGTTTAAAAGCACATTTTCATTTGCATCTATGTGCTTGTGCATCTGTGGACCAGGAGCCTTGGACTTTCTGGAGAGGCCCACAGTTGTTTTTGTGCGTTTGAAGGAAGCATCGGTGCTAGACTCAGCCCTGGAGGCCCCAGTGCCTGTGCGCTTTGTCTTTGTCCTGGTTGGACCGAACAAGGCTGATGTGGACTACCATGAGACTGGCCGGGCAATGGCAGCACTGTTGGCTGATAAAGTAAGTTAGATGAGGCTTCTGACAAACCTAAAATGTGTGGACTGTGATGCATTCACTGAAGACTACCTTTTAAACTCTGGTTGCACTGTACTCTACATCTACTTTTAAAATTTTTTTTACGGTAATCAGTATTCAGGCATCAACCCTGTCCTGAATCTACAGCACTTCAGTCCACTGCTCAGTAGCCAGCTTTAACATGTTTTTGTATATTTTTCTGCAATTATTTCCATTCTTTTCATCAATATGATCTAAAATTGAATCGTTTGTGTTGGAGGCCTCCTCCACTAACACTATGGCTGTGATATTTTTGCTCATGTACCAGCTCCGAGCATTTTTATTGTTCTGTTGGTTGCATATTGAAGGTGCAGTATATTACATTTTTAACATAAATTTAGCATTAATATGCCGGCTGTTATGTAAAGATGTAGTGGAATAATGGCATCCTCAGCAGAGAATGAAGTCACACTCCCTCTATGTGTTTTGTAATCTGAGCTTCTCTGTTCTGTGTTTTGGCAGTCGGTCCAGCCTACGTGTATGTTGATGTTATTTTATACAAAGATAAAGTGATTTTTGTATTTAATGCTTATCTTTGTCATTTAATATCAAACAAAGCTTCCTGGATATTTTGTTTAACCGTCCTATTATCTTTGGGGTCAGCTTGACCACATTCAGTGTTTAACATCTCAAAACAAGTGATTGACATTTTTTTTTAGTTTTATTTAAGGGGCTATTTACACATAAACTTGGGTAACAATTTTAGTTATGATTCTTTTGCTGGGGTCAAGTTGAACCCAGTATAAAAGATGTCAGTAAATTTGAAGGTAATAGGAGGGTTAATAAATAGATAATATGCCAATGCCTTGCACATGTCTCGAATTGCGTCCACTGTCCCCAAGTGGTTTAAAAAAAAAAAATTAAAGAAAGATTTTTACAGGTCCAATTTGAAAATGTAATGCAGAAAGTATTACAGCTCCACAATGAACAAAATATCAGAATTATAGATTTATAAATGTGCTACCACTTCAGGACAAAAGTATGTAAAACACTGAAAAGCACAGACACTCATGACCTCACTGCCCTCTTGCATCCCTCATGTTGTGTTGCTCTCCTACCCAACAACCTTCAGCCCTCCCACCCAGCTCCTCTGTCTATTCCCTAGGTGTTCAATCAGGTAGCTCTTCAGGCAAAGAGCCCCCGAGAGCTGACGGACGCTGTGTCCGACTTCATGGACTGCAGCATCGTCATCCCGCCCACCGAGATCCAGAACGAAGCCATGCTCAGCTCCATCATCAGCTTTCAGAAGAAGCTACTGCAGGACAGACTCCAGTCCTCTGACACCACAGTCCCCCTGGACTCCAAACCTCGTAGGGGTGAGTAATATCAGCACACAACCAACAATACGTTAGTCATGGTTAACTTTGAGTTTTATAAAATAGGCACATATAAAGAAAAGGAGATTCATCTTTGATTTAAATTCCCTCCTAGTTTCCACCTCTAGCGGGCCTCCTCCTGAAGACCCTCTTGCTCGTACTGGTCGACCTTTCGGTGGGATGATTCGCGACATAAAGAGACGCTACCAGTACTACAAGAGCGACATCACCGATGCTCTCAACGCCCAGGTTCTTGCTGCCGTCATCTTCATCTACTTCGCTGCCCTGTCTCCTGCCATCACCTTTGGAGGACTGCTGGGTCTGTGTCTGGTCACATTTTGCAGATGCTGTTCTTCTGTGACATGAAGTAAATCCAATGATTCATTTTTAATCTTTGCCGCTACAGCTGATAAGGTGGAAAACATGATGGGTGTTCCAGAGCTGCTCATTTCCACCAGCATTCAGGGGATCATCTTCTGCTTTATTGCTGCTCAGCCTGTCCTGGTTATTGGTTTCTCTGGTCCGCTGTTAGTGTTCGAGGAGGCCTTCTATGCTGTGAGTTTATTATTTTTTCATCATCTCATAAATTTTTGTGATGTAATTTTTTTTTTACTATCTGTCATCATGCATGGGAGACTAAATTTAACTGGGATCGTGGTCAGAGTTCAACTCATCCTGAGTTTCCTTCATTCAGTTCTGCAAGTCCCAAGGAATTGAGTATATTGTGGGCAGAGTGTGGGTTGGAGTGTGGCTCGTCATCATTGTGGTGATCATTGTGGCCTGTGAGGGCAGCTTCCTGGTGCGCTTCATCTCACGCTTCACCCAGGAGATCTTCTCCATCCTCATCTCCCTCATCTTCATCTATGAAACGTTTGCCAAGCTGGGGAGGGTAAACCATCTTCATCCATTATACATATTTCATCTCTTCATTCAAATGAAATCATTTCATTTCTGTGATTGCACTGCTGTTTATCCCGTATATAATATCTAAATTCATCAACACTCTTCTAACTTCTCTTTAGACCTTCAAGGCACATCCGCTGATTCTAAATTATGATCACCTGAATGCAACCTTAGAAAATCCCTGGCACCCAAAGGTGGAAGAGACCATCATCTATGACAACGCCACCGGCAACACAACTGTTATTATCAACACTATTAACTCAGCTTACCCCAACACAGCGCTGCTCTCCATGTGCCTCATGTTAGGCTGCTTCTTTATTGCTTTCTTCCTGCGTCAGTTCAAGAACGGGACATTTCTTCCTGGAAAGGTGAGACGGAGTCCAGAGGCTGTTCCCAGAGTGTTTCAGTCCCTTTATGTTATCAACCGGTTAATTCAATTCTAAGGGTACAACAATTTTGATTACATTGCGTCATTAAAGCACATTTTAATTACAGTTTTGTTTTGTTTTTTTGTCTGATTTATGCTTAACAGCTCAGGCGCTTGATGGGTGACTTCGGTGTGCCCATTGCCATTTTCCTTATGATTGTCGTGGACTATAACATTGGTGACACCTACACTCAGGTTGGTCCAATATTCTAAGCAGCAAAGCTCAGTTAAAAGTGGATTTTGAGAGTTTTTGGACTCATTCAGTTTATGCACACTCTACTGTGTGATTCAAATCCTTATAATTGCCATATATAAACCTAACAACGCACAATGATAAACTGAAATTATTATTAAAAATCTAAACTAAATTTTCTCACTTACCAAAGTATTTAAACCCTTTGAATCAAATTGTCTTTGTTAATTATACAAGTTAATGCGGTTCAAATGTGCTTCACAGATGACTGATAAGCTGATAGTAAGACTGAAAACTGCTGAAATTAATAACAGCTTTTAGAAAAGTAGGACAAAACACATACATTAAAGGAACTAAAGTCAAATTTTACATCATATATACAATAAAATCTAATTTTGGGCGTCATCACTTCCATTCAAAGCACGTTAGCAGGAGATCTTTTAATGTCAAATATGAACGTAAGACAAAAGCTGTTTTAATGTCCATGTGGACACCTGACTATTGTTTAAAGACAGATTTTTAAATATGTTTCCATGTACACTGATTTGATCAAGCAGATTAAACTGAGAACTGATTTTCTTTACAGAAACTGGTCGTTCCCAAAGGCTTGATGGTGTCCAATCCAGCCAAAAGAGGCTGGCTCATCAACCCCTTTGGGGAGCACAAGCCTTTCCCTGTGTGGGTGATGTTTGCATGCTGCGTCCCGGCCCTGCTCGTCTTCATCCTCATCTTTCTGGAGTCTCAGATCACAACGTGAGTCATTAGAGCTCATGTTTGGAGCAATGTCGCTCATTAAAATATGAACCTTAGAAAACGTGACATTTTGTGGCTTTAATTAAAGTTTGATTCACACTTCATATCTCTGACCAGCCTGATTGTAAGTAAACCTGAGAGGAAGATGGTCAAAGGCTCTGGGTTCCACTTTGACTTGCTGGTTTTAGTCGGCATGGGAGGGCTGAGCGCAATATTCGGAGTGCCATGGCTCAGCGCCGCCACTGTACGATCTGTCACTCACGCCAATGCCCTCACTGTCATGAGTAAAGGACCAAAGCCTGTGATCGAGAAAGTGATGGAGCAGAGGATCAGCGGCATTGTGGTGGCCTTGCTTGTTGGTAGGTGCTAGTCTAATCACCCACTCACATCTGTCCAGACATCCACAGGAAAACAATTTGCATAGAGCAGATTATGCAGAGTATGCTGTCATTAATCTGGATCTGTGTTTGTGTTAAGGTCTGTCCATTCTGATGGAGCCGATCCTAAAGCTGATTCCCATGTCAGCCTTGTTTGGGATCTTCCTCTACATGGGAGTCACATCACTAAATGGCATCCAGCTGTGGGATCGTATGCTGCTTCTTCTCATCCCTAAGAAATACCACCCTGATGAACCCTATGCAACCAGAGTAAGAGCTTTATTGCTACATGATAAATTAAGTGCATGCTAACATCAAAAGGGTTAACAGCAAGTCTGCTGCCTCATATGGTCATTTAGCATAAAACAAAAGGAAGCTCTTGTTTTGCAAGCATCAAATACATTTCAGATGAGATGTTTCTGCGAATATGTTAAATCATCTCCAACCGCAACACATCAAATCACATGTGGACACCACTTGTAAGTTTAATTTCATTTTAAATCTGACACTCTCATGCCATGAAATCATACAATATGTGAACATTTTGGGGCCCATTGGATGATGTTCTCCACGTGGACGTGTAAAAGGCACCAAAATACATCAACAGGAACACAACATTTGAACCAAATCTAGTGCCAACAGTTGTTAAGACATTTTGCTAAAAACTACAATTGTGCACCTCACGTAGAAGAAGCACAATTGTGGTCACCACTATGAGTAGAGTTCATGCTCAGAGGGCGATGAATGTTGTGTGTAGTTATGTCTGCTGGACTAATGTCTGTATGTCTGGATACAGGTAAGCACAGGACGAATGCACCTGTTCACGGCCATCCAGGTAGTGTGTCTTGCACTTTTGTGGATCGTGAAGTCCAGTCCGGTATCACTTGCGCTTCCCTTCATTCTCATCCTCACCATCCCTCTACGTATGTTTATGACCGGGCGTCTATTTACTGAACTGGAGATGAAATGTGTAAGTGGCTCGTCATTTCAGTGAATTCTGAACTTCTTGGACCGAGGCAGCATTTGATAATGTGTCAGCTGTATGCATCCAACTGTTTTCACTTTTCGTGTGTGCATTATATTTCAGTTGGATGCTGACGACGCCAAAGTGGTCTTTGAGGAGGAGCCTGGGCAGGACGTATACTGTGAATCTCAGATGCCATTGTAGAGGTTTTCCATGACAGCTGCCAGCACTTTTTTATTTTGACAAAAGGATATTTATTTAATATGTGGCTCACATAATATTTAATTTGTCTATGAGCTTAAACATATATAAAGTGTTTTTTGAGATACCAGATGCAGATACAGATTCTATATCTTTCTAGTGTCAACATTAATGTCTTTTAAAAGGCTGTCTGGCTTAAACATTCCTGAAGAATTTTCAACTGTCACTCAGGTAAATTCTTTGTATTGCTGAAGCTGGAAATATTCTCATTTATATGTTTTTACAAAGTAAGTCATAACAAATGCAAAGGCTTTTTTAAAGTATGTAAAAGAGGTGCTCACACATGAAATTAAAAAAAAGTCAATCATGCCAGCACTCCAGAAAAGCTTGAAGAATAATAGCAATAAAAGCCCAAACTGTATGTTTTCCAAGCGGTCGCTCACTGAATGTAATATTGTTACAATTTAAGTTATTGTTGCTTGATGGGAGTAAAAGTCAGACTCTGAATGACGCAATATTTGATTTGTAAGGTAGGTGATTTAGCAGGAATGATCAAACTGGCAACACTGGAGAGCAAAACGACAACACCACTGTGTGGCAATGCAGGGAGAGACAAAATGTTGTTAAAAATTATATTGTGTGTTGTGTTGCTGTCTTTTTGTCATCTCTCTATGAATAATAAAAACTGCCTTCAATAAGACTCCTAGCGTTGATAGATTACTGATTTCTTGTCACTTTAATATCTATGCATGGATTGGACAATTTGCTGTAGAAAAAGGTGGTGTTAAATCAAATCAATGTTTCTATGACACAGGCACAAACAATAGCTGCCTTGTACAATGTGCAATAATGTGCTGCAGAATTCACATCACTACAATATGTTCTTATTGTAACTCAGCCATAATTGGTAAAACTGTTGCTGTTTTAGTCAGTCTCTCTGTGTGGCCCTATGATAGACTGGGGATCTATCCAGAACGTATCCTGCCTTCGCCCTAAGTCGCCTAGGACAGGCTCCATCACCTCCGTGGCTGCACAGATGACAAAGTGGTGTATAGATAATAGATGGATGGATGTTGCTGTTTTAAAAACAAATTGTGATCTTTTTTCTTCACGCTATATAAAATTCAAACTATTCATTGCATTATTTTTGAAAGCATCTTCACTTTATCTTCAGGGACTAAAATATTTCTACTGTGCTTTACATAGTTTATTGGTATTTATTCAAATTATTCTTGCGTCCTCCGACTCAATAGGTGGCGCCCGGCTGGCCTCGTCCACATAAATAAACACAAAGAAGAAGCCCCAGAAGACGCACATTGGCTGTTTTCATTTCACTCCTCTGACGTAATCACTTTTCTCCTTCCCGATTGGTCAATGTATCGTAGCGGCCCCGCCTAGCAAACATGGCGGTCTTTATGCGGATGTCGGCGACAAAAACAAATACAGGACATGTGTTTCTTACTGTGTCGCCGGGAGTGTTTGTTTTGTAGCTGATTAACAACGGCAGCTCGTTAATAAATTCTCGGTTAAATATCGCGCGTGTGTTTTTAATTTAAGAGAGCTCAGTTTGATAGGTTAGCGAACTTGCTAATGTTGCTGTGCAGCTTTTCTGGAGTCACTTGTAATAAAACAAACGTTTGCATAGTTAGCATCCAGCTGTGACACCCGAAGCGTCTTGAAGAAACATTTTGTTTGAAAAATGAGTGACGATAAAATGGAGACGGAAGAACCTGGTGCGTACAGTTAAATACAACGTGTTCTTTTGAGTCACTCTTTCCACCTGCAACTGTCACAATTAAAGTAGCTGTGGTTTATTTACAAAGATGGTATTTTCTGCTCTGTTAACATCAATGTGATGAATTCATAAGCGGACTACTGTTACTGTAGGATGGACCAGGGCAGACCTCCAGAAGCTTCTCGGTGCAATGAAAGCCAGCATCCCAGAAAATGAGAAGATGGACTGTTACACCAATGGACTGAAAAGATTAGACTGGAATAAGGTGGCTTTCCCTCCTTTTTCTCCTGAGGCATGTAAACAGAAGTGGACAAATATGTTGAAGAAGGTGAGTCACATGTATATTCTTAATTTGCAGTTGACAAAAATAACTTCATTTGTATAGCACCTTTAAGAACAACAATTCACAAAGTGCTTTGACAGGTAGAACATAAAATACAGGTGAAATATCAGGCAGGACAGTACAAACACAGGTAAAAGCAAAATAATGAATAAAAAGTGCCTGCAAACATATGTGAATACACACTGTAAGAAATGGAATGTACAGAGTGGATGGCTAGTTAAAAAGTGGTTAAAAGGAGGACATCACACAAGGGGCTTAAGAGAGAAGCTGAAGAGAAAATCAAAGATAGAAATGGATTAAGATCAGGAGGTTAGAAAGAGGGACTACAAACAGTTTAAAAAAATTAAAATGGATAAAAGGGCAGAGAGTAATAAAAGAGAAATAAAGGCAAGTCTATAAAAGTAGGTTTTAAGAAGTGATTTAAAAGAAGTTACTGATCCAGCGAGCCTTATCTCCTCAGGTAGGTCATTCCAAAGCTGAGGGGCCCTCACAGAGAAGGCCCGGTCACCCTTGGATTTAAGCCTAGACTTTGGGACGATCAAGAGGGACCCACCCGAGGATCTAAGGCTGCGCGTAGGGACATATGGGATTAACATGTCAGGAATACAGCCAGGGGCAAGGCCCTGGCAAGCTTTAAAAGTGATCAGTAAAATAAATTGTAAAACGGACAGGGAGCCATGGAAGAGAAGCCACATCTACAAACTACATCATGATATCCACTGAACAACTTTTCTAAAGGTTTCAAACATATCCCCCAAATACTAGTACACTAAGGCTAATCAAATCTTAATGTCAGCTGGTATATTTGATATATTGTTCTTATTACAAGCTCAGTACAACCTTACTTTCACAAGTTACCTGGATCATCACAGTGCTAAACTTTTGTTAGGTGCCCATATGGTATAAATTATTATTTCAGTGCTTATTTTGAGGATCTGTGTTGTATGTTTAAATTTAAAAAATCTTAAACAATATATGTTATTATATGTTATTGCCTGTGGATAAGATGTTATTTTGACATTGGATCACAGTCCAGAGATATACATTATATAAAAGAAGTAACTACACCCCTGCATGATATCACTTAATAAACAAAAACAAACAAACAAACAAAAAAAACCTATGTTTGCATCCCATATCTTCACACTCCTACGTCTGTGCTTCACTGTTGGGACTATGCATTTACTGTTGTAGTCCTCTGTAAGCTTAAACCAAACTAGCTGGACCCCATCTGAACTGAACAAATTAATCTTGATCCCTTTTGACCGAGCATGTGACGGTGTAATATCCTTCTTGTTGCTCAGATGTCTAAAGTTCGGACCCTCACAGAGCTCATTGTTAGAGCAGAAGATGTTATAGCCGATCCTGCCCATAACAGAAAGGTAAGCACAAAACATTTCCATGGCGCCATCTTGTAAATAGAGAATTATTCTGCGCAAGGTTGTGTTTGAAATATCATCTCTCATCAAGTCTTTCGTGATGCTGATCAATTACAAAGCATGAGGTGTGCTTGCACTGTGTTGAGCACTCACCTGCACTATAGGTACGGACAGAAATCTAGATAAACCGGACTGGAACATTTGTTTAGAAGAGATATCTGATTGTTTCATTTTGTGACTTTACAGTTAGTGATTATTCTGTTTAATGATTTGGTAGAGTTCATATGACAGTATGTCTTTGGACCTCTGTAATTGAAACAGGGTGAGGAGTTCACTGAAGATGAAGAGGGTCTTCCTCCCAGGCCACCTCTGTAAGCCTCACACACTGTATACCACCCTGCTGTATATTCAAAAATGAGTGACTTCTACTACTTTCACTGTTTTTATAATATTTACTTTGTGTGCAGTCATGTATTGAGGTGGTAATTCATTTTTTTTTAATTTAAGGATTTGCTGAACTTTTATTGTGAAGCTTTGTCCCAGTAAATGAAAGAACAATGCCATAATTGCTACCACCATAATGGATGAGGATATAAGAGTACACCCTATTTACTTCTTCTCCCAACAAATAGAGGGAACATCCCTGAAAGGCTGGATTTGGTGCCCTGAAAAGGGAGCCTCATCCTCATCCTCATCCTCATCCTCATCCTCATCCTCATCCTCATCCAAAAGCGATGCACACTCCATATAGCCTGGCTGCCATTACATATAAAGAGGAACTTTGGTGGACAAAGCTTATTTGGCACCAACAAAACCTTGATTGTTTTATACTGAATGTATTTTGGTTTTAATCATATTTTATGTTTATCTTTGGTTAAATGTATTAACCATTTGAAACTTACAAGAATGCAAGCTTTTAATTCACTGGCAACTGATCACATGTTTGTTTGTGTGTATGTGTGTATGTAGCACTGGCTATACTGTGTTCTGCAAAGAGCAACTGCCACACATGCCGGGTACCACGAGTAGAAACAAAATGAGTGTTTGTGCTCAACGTTGGCAAGAGTTAAGTGAAGCAGAGAAGGACAAATACCGTACAAACTGCGAAGAGGTATGAACACACAAGCTCATTAATGTTCCCACTAAAATCACTGCTGCACCACAAGACTCTGAAATCAACATTATCATGTTGGATTACATACAGAATCTCCTCAGTCTGAATTCACTACTTTTAAAATTTTCTTACAGTTGAACAGACAGTACAGGATGAAGCTAAATGAATATTTACAGGTGAGTACAGCTGTAGTTGAAGTGTTGAGCTGATGCTGACAGACTTTGTGTAACAACGTGTGTTTCATGTTCCACAGA